GGGGGGGGGGGGGGGGGGGGGGGGGGGGGGGGGGGGGGGGGGGGGGGGGGGGGGGGGGGGGGGCACCGACATCAGCGGCGGGAGCCTACGATTCGACCGCTTGGATCGGTGAGCGCCGATGGCGTCATCCTGATCATTTATTTCTCGCGAGCTCTCCCTCCCGCGCGCCCGTCCCAAGAATGGCCGCAATGGCCATGGAGATGAAGCCGAGCGTCCACACAGGAAACGCCGTCGGCGTGGAGCCTCCCGTCAGGCGAGACGGTCTCCACCCTGACTTCGAAGGGCTCAGCAGCGGTGGGGGTATCGGTGGTGGCGGCGGCGGGGCGGCAGCAGCAGCAGAAGCAGCAGCTGCAGCAGCAGCTGCAGCAGCAGCAAGGCAGGGACAGTTTTGGCAGGCACACGGCAGTGACGGTAGTGGCAGAAGGGCTCGTCCAACGGGGTTCCCGGAAGCTGCAACGCCTTGGTCCACCAAATGGACGGACGGCATGCCGGAGGGCTGGAGGACTAGGGACTTGGGGACGGTGGGGGCGGGATGGCCGTCGTCCCCTGGGTTCGGCAAGCCTCCGCACTGTGGAGAGTACCGACAAAGCAACGCGGGAGAACTCCAAGGAGCAGGAGGGGATGATCTGGACAACTCTTTCAGCGGGCACTTTTCGTCGAACCGCGTTGCTGCTGCCGGACTACCGCCGACGTGCATGACGATCATGTCGATGCCGACGCCGAGCCCCGAGATCATGCGCTGGAGGGAGAGCAGCACCAGCGGCACCAACAGCAGCGACAAACACAACAAGAACGCCTTGCTGGCGAGCGTAGTCATGCCCCCAGAGATACAGGATCTCGAGGAAAAGTTATACTCCGACGGGTTCACGACCTTGTCGGCGGGACCCCCGGCCATGTCGGCGGTAGCCCCGGCCATATCGGTGGAACCCCCGGCCGTGTCGGCGGGACCCCCGGTCGTGTCGGCGGGACCCCCACCACATCATCATAGCCCAGAACTCAGGGAAACGGAAGCGAGGGTGGTGGGGGCACGGGGAGGGGGCAAGGCAACACCACCGCCGCCGGCTTCCGACGTGGACGACAACATCAACACCGACGGCAGCGTCGCCACAACGGTTGCGAACTCCTCTTCGTTGCCTTCACGAACGGAAGCTCCCGATGGGTCTGTGGATCGATCGTCATAGCCTGTTGGGGAGGAAGGGGAGTCTGGCCAAGGAGAACGGGGTGTCGGCGAGTGATTGATACTTCTTGCATTGGTGCCCAGAACAACGTGTCGGTGGTGGGGGACCGATTCTCTTTGAAAGGAGGGGGTGGGGATGTGATGGATCGGGCGGCGGAAGGGTGTGTTTGAAGATGCGTGCTTAAAGCGGTATGAAAATAGTATCGTGCGAGGAGCGTGTTCCGGGGGGAATGCATTAATTTCAGTTGGTAACGGGCGTGGGTATCACATGCATGATCAAAGGCGACAAATGCTGCCGGTTTTTTATGGGGCACAGCAAGGTAGGAGGACGGGATGGAGAGGCCACCAGCCAGAATGCGGGCTTTCTTGAGCGGTGAACACGGAAGGAGCTGGTCTAGGGTGGACAAGGGAAAAGGGGCCGTGATGCGCTTGGAAATGATACAGAGGGGAGAGTGAAAAGGATAACATATCGTGTACAATGCTCCTGATATAGTTTATGTGTTTATGTGAGTTGGTCATGGATAAGTGGTGTCGTTTTCGATAGTTTTTGGTGATCTATCTGTAGGTAAGCGTGACATTGGCCATACGTTCGTTCCGGGTGTCAACGGAATGGGGCTCGCGGAACATTGGGCAGCCACCGTCTCAGTACTGTGTTGATGTTGCTGTCCTCACGTTAAATAGAGTACCGCAAGCGTATTTTTAACTTTGTTCTTCGGTCTATTACAACAACTCACGGCGGTTAGCACCTTCCGTGGAATTTCATGGTTGGGTGTACGGTGGGTTGGTTTTACTGTGGTTTTTTGTCGGGTGTAGAGTATTTGCGTACGAGAACGGACTGGGCGCGGATATACGTGCCAAACAATGTCTAACGGGTTTGACGGCTGTTGGCGGGCGCGCATTCTTTAGGAGGAGGGAAAATTAGGTGCAATTTGGAAGGCCGACGAATTGAACATGTCACATTGTCAGATATGTTTAATATACGCTCAAAGGTATGTCTTACAATACCCGGCGAAGATGGGCGATTTCATTGTAGCATTGAGGAGAGGCATAATTACGGGTGATCATAGGAGTGGGAAGGTGCAGATAAGAGGGTAGTGAATGGTATTTTGAAGGTATGTTGGCTTGGGGAGGGGGTGAGGAGACGAAACATGGATCATTGCGCTGTAAACCACACTAAGCACTTAAGACCAAAACCGGGACACTTGTTACGAACGGCGTGGCTCTTCATCGCCACCCTCAACTTCTGAGGAGATAGTAAGACGGGCTTCAGACCCCGGGGGGGGGGCTACTCCCGGCCTGTTAAAAGCTATGTACGTGAAGAACTTGAACAAATTAGACCCACTTTACCCTAGCACCGGTGGATGACGTACGTCCATGACGACATACATACACTGGAAGCGCTGTGATTTTCTCGTACACAAAACTTCGACAAACTTTCGGCATTCTGGAACGAAATGAACAACACGTGGGGTGGGCGGGGTGAAGGGTGGTGGGTGATGCTCGTTGGCCATGAGAAAAGTACGATTTTCGGCTGGGCAGGGGGGGGGCTCGGGGTCAGAGAGGATCGCTCGACTGTTAGCAGGGTTGTTGTAGTTGTATGCCTCCAGCATTTCTTTACCTAGATTTGTGCGCGCAATCCCTGCAGGTGCGTTAAACGGGTAAAATTGTTGGTCAATTGGACGTTACCAACAGCAAGTCATAATCAAGTGCTACACGGTTCTTATACTACATGTACCGCAGTACAGTAGTGACGCAGATCTTTTTAGGATAACGTAGGGCTGCTTGACGGGTGGTGTCGAGAGGGGGGGAGATGGAGGGGATACTCCCACGAATGCGCTCACGCAGTGAACGACAGGGGGGGTAGGTGACTACAGTAGTAGATGCCGAACTTGTTCTGGCATCAACGCTTTGAAGAAATAGAGAGAACACAAAAGAAGATGTGAAGAATAACGTTCAACGGAACAAATGTCGCAGAAAGGCTGCCAGATCGGAGAGGTTAATGCAGCGAGTGGCAGCACAGCATCCTTTGCTCTGCAGCAACCCCTTTGGTCAAATGAGGACGCGTCTGTGGCGACCTACGGTGCCCGCTCCGGTCAACAAGGTAACTTGGTCGCTAGTGTTCGGCGATGTCGATGCTCTGTTGTTAGAGACCCCACCACCTTCATGTGCAACGTTTCTTGTGACACAGCTGCTGTGACTTGGGGCGTGTCTCGCGTATTCAAACCTTTTGGGGTGCTTCATGGTGCCGGAAGGCGCGTAGAAGATTCGCAAAAGGGAAGCTTTGTTCCCGGAGAACTTTCCGTACGATTGGAGGCGACCTTTCCTACGACAAAGGTACGCACGCATGTTTTGATTTGATCATTCATCGACCACGAAGCTCATCATCATCTTCACCTGCCCTGAACCAACCCGTAACACATCGGAACGCGGTATAACAGTACCGTGCCCTTTCCCACAAAACAACTGGTACACCACACCACGACACAACACAACACAAAGAACCTCGAGCGAGTGAGTGTCAGAATCCTCACCAATATCATATCCAAACGAAGGGCTGAACGTGAAACCGATTGCTAGGATTAACGCTTCGAATCCCTCAACAAGGTCAGTAAGGGCGAACACTGAAACGACGACGCGACGGACCGAAGGTAAGTACAGCCACTGAGACAACCACACAAAAACACACACACAAACAGCCCTATTCAGGACATCAGAGACGTGAGCAGACCGATTCGAGTCCGCTACCAACCGGAACCGGCCAACTCCAAACGAAACAAGACGGCCGCGTAACCCAACTCAGCACCCAACCCGCGGGATGATACGAAGCAAGCCAACCAACCAATTAAGAGGAAGCAGACCACCTTTACAGGGCTAACAGAGTGGACTAGTCGGGCAAGGCCGGTGGAACAACAACCAACGCGAGTATCATGATGGATTGGTCGATTTCGGCCAGTTCAGGCGCCCAGTTGTTCAGCCGGCCTACGCCCTTGAAACCACATACGCACCACCCGACCAGCAGACGTCGACAGCGAAAAACCAAACAAACAACCACCAGACAAAAGCCCTTTCACACAAACACCCGATCCGAAGCCACCTTACACGCAAAACCACGAGCAACCAACCGCCTGGTAACTTCCCCTCGGCAGATTCGACAACAATTAGACGATGCCGACTTCCTCGTCCTCAATCTCTGCGATAGCTTCCATGCCCCCCAGCGAGCTCGTCCCAGAGCCGGCGCGCTTCCGGGGAGGAGCCACCGAATCCGGAGAGATGAACGACAACGGCAAGGGTGGTTTTCCTGGGTGTGCAGACGCGTCGACCCCGCTCCCTCGCCGTGAAGGCGTCTGCTGAAGAAAAAAAAAAAATGTAGCGCAGATAGACAGACGACCATCGTCACGGACGACATCGTCGTGTGTAGTGTGCACAACAAGCGAAGGGGACTTTGGTACAACGGAGAGAGATTGAGATGGGAACTTTGCACTTGTTCCGAGGAGCAAAGGTCCAGACAGTAATTCTTGTTGGGGCGAGGGCGTTGGGATGTCGTTTGCGTCACGTTCACCCAGAGCATTGTACGTGGTATCCCAATCACACTTCTTTCATTAATGAGACGACGACAGAAAGAAAATATATATGCATATATCCGCCGGAAAAATATATAAAAGCGGGGGACGCAAGCGATGTGTGGTGCAACCCACTACCGTTACAGGCGGCGAGAGCGCGTTGAGCCCAACCCCCCCCCCCCGGTCTCATCCCAAGGTATCACTAGAGCTCTTACCACTTCCTCCCTTCTTTTTCTTCGCTACTGTATCCGCAACGTGTTCGAGGGGTGCCTATCTGCAATCCGCCGCATTCACGTACCCCCCGTGCGACGAGCTCCCTCATAGCCCGACCCCCCCCCTACACATGCCGCCTACGTACTGGTACACACACAAAGTGCATTGCACACACACAACACAAATGTAATGAGGACCCACGTCAATGTGGTGGTGTTTGCGTTCGACTCCATGGACGGGCTAACACACATCTAAGCTTACCCTTCCCGGGGACGGGCTGCGGTCCCTGCTTTTCGTCTGCATCTCGTCGTAGAGCCTGGCGTTGGCCATTTGCAGGTCCATCTGCATGCTGTCCACCAACGCGCGCAGGCTGCGTGAACGCACGCACGCACGCACGCACACAGTCACAGAAGCCAAGCCAAACGTGAGCAGCAGCGGAAAATATCAAGTCAAAGGCGTTGATTTGCGGAACGAAGAGTTGGAAATGCGCGAAACAAAAAAGCTTCTCAGAAATGCAGAATACCCGGAAGATTCGCAGCTCCTGAGGGTCAAGTTGGAGACACCAATACGCCGCCACGAGACTAGTCGAGGGAACACCGTGGCGATTGGCTGCGCTCCACACCTTAACGATCGTTGTTGGAGGTGAGGTGGCATGTCTGCAAGCTTCCTGAACAAGTGCGAGCGACGGCGCGCACCTAAAGTACTTGCGGCGCCAACACAGCCACAACCGCAAACAATTCCGTGGGCTCCGATTTACATAAGTATGCATATACCACAAGCACCCAGGAATGTACCGTAGCCGTAGCACACACGTCCGAGATTCGTTGTCAGACCAATAAACCGCCGCCTTGCTTGCGCGTGCGGGCCCACTTTCGTTTCTCGCATGAAAAAGAAACCAACAAAACATCAAGCATGTGATAGCAGTCAAACGTTTCGTCTTGTACCTTTTCATCGTAAACGCGGCGGGTTCCCGGGTGGGCCGTTTCCGGACACCGGGGGGGGGGGGGGGGGGGGGGAA